CATTTAGCAAAAATTTCGAAATTTATTTTGCAATATTTCGAAATTATTGTGCTATGCAAAATCTTTCGAAATATTTCGCATCTATAAATTTGCTGATGCAAGAAACAGACAGTGTTGATGCATATGTAAATAGGTTTAGATCTCTATAAAAGAAAGTAGACTCTGCTATAGCCTTTTCTGCTGCCTTTGTTACCCAACTTTTTATTTAAGGATTATGACTGGAATATGTTATCAATATTTAAGCATCTGAACCAGCAGACTTAGATGCTGTCATTAATGCTGCTCAATGATGAAAAACTAGAAAGCTTATAGCTACTGCTACTCTTTCAGAAACAGACCAAGCTATTAAGAAATTAACTAACCAAATTGCTCAACTTAGTATTAACCTAGCTTAGCAACAACAACTTGCTTCTACTACTTCTGTAAACTATGCTAAAGCTCCTACCCAAGCACCTTGACTTAAACAACCACCTACTTGTTTTTATTGTAAACATACTGGACATTTTATTTCTAATTGTATTATTAAAAAAAAGAGACAGAGAATGAAGACAAGGCTCCTATAACTAAAGACCTACCAGAGACAATCGACATAATTATTCTTGATCCAGAAGTTGAGAACATCTTCGAAATAGAAGCCAATCTTGTGAATAAAACTATTATTGTCAAATTATCAAAAAAATAGAAGTTTTGAATACTCTAGATACTCCTCTAACTGATCTTCTTCTCTATATTATTATGATGTTCACTACTTCAATCAGAATCAGACACTCTCTTCTTCTTCTCCAATTAGTTCGCAAAAATGGAAAACCTTGTTAACCAATCCTTTTATCTGCATTGCACTTTCTGCACATTTAAGTAAAGAAGCTAAGAATGCCAATATCATTACATCCTCTATCTACACTACACTTGTTAAATATAATATTCAACTTAGAAACAGACTCTACCAAGCTATAATTGACAGTGATGCTTCTGTAAGCATGATTACTTACAAGGTAGTTAAAGAATTAGGATTAAAAATTAAACAAGCCTCCTCTAGTCTTATTATGTTAGCTACTGGTAATTCTATTAGACCTTTAGAAGCCATTCAAGATCTACCTATTACTATAGATCAAATTACTATCTCTGTTACTGTTGAAGTAGTAGACATTACTTTATATTCTATCCTTCTTGGCAATGACTAGTCCAAGAAAGTCAAAGCTAGTTACAATTAGAAAAATGAATGCTATGCCTTTAAGTGGAAAGGTAAAAGGCATATTATTCCTACTATCTATGAGAATGACCAACCACTCCTAACTCAATCTATTGTTACTAATCCTGATAAGCTTGAGCTTTATGAACAGAAATATCTTACATCCTTGAAAGCATATACTCTTGATGCTGAACCTGCTGAACTATCCTCTAGCAATAGTTCAAAAAAATGGACTGTTTACTAACCCAAGTATAGAACCAGACAACTTAAAGCATGTGTGTGTGGAAACTGTGAATTACCAAATCATCTTTTTGCACAATGTTCTACTAACCTTTGTAATTATTGCCAACAATCTGAACATATTGCCATTTACTGCCCTCAACAACTATCAAAAAGAGCCAGTTGTCAAATCTGCAATCAACTGATCATCTCTATAGAGCCTGCCTACAAAATATTTGCAACTTATGTAACAGTTATAGACATATTAGCATCGATTGTCCTTTGGCTGACCTCTGAAAGCAAAACCATCATACAAGTATGGCTGTAACTTTGAAATAGTAGAATCTTAAAGACTACCCAATTATAGTTATAGACATACCTATTACTGCTGCCAATGCCATGTCCCAGAAAGACCTGAATTTCTAAAAGCTCTTAACAACCAACTTTTCTGTCATGCTTGTTATTTTGACTTTCACTATACCCTTGATAGAGAAGACCTTCAAAGTGTTCATTTTTATATATAAGGAAAAGATTATGAACTACTTGTAGAATGTAAAGTATACCAAAAAGCAAAATCTTGTTTTCAAATATACCAACTAGAAAGCCTTAGTAAAGAGCTTTGGTTTTGTAAACTTGAGCACTTATATGTCCATAAAGCTAGTTAGAATGTTCTTTATAATCCTAACTACAATTTATAGACAAAAATCAGATATTACACAGAATCTAACCAAAGTGCTGGATCTTAATATAACCTAAACCAGACTTGTATATATCACCTTGCTGCTGTTCTTGTTGGGAAAGTAACAAGACTATTATCAAAGCTCTTGAACCTCAAGTTGGTGATTATTTTAGCCAATCCTGGTCTAATAATAACATGGAACTAGTATTATAAGAAGAACAAGAAACCCTTGAAGAAAATGATGAACTTCTTCTTCAACAAATATTAGATGAGTCCTTTGACACTAGCCATTCTGAATATAATTGACAATTCACTTTTGCTACCTTGCATCACAATTTTAGTACTTCTGTTGACCTTTGTAAAGAATGCTTACATGTTAAGCATCAAGAAGAATTAAACCAATATGAAGAATACTGTAGAGATTGTGATACTGCATTAGTATATTCACCAAACACTGAACTTACTTCAAAACCAGACCCTATTTATATTAAACCTCTTATCAAAATGCAACTCCAGTTGAATTAACAAGCTTAACTTATCCAACAATTGCAAACACAGGTTCAATTTCTGCAAGACACTAATGCACAAATTTTACAATTTTTTCAAAACCATTTTTAACATATAAGGCAACAAGAAAATGTCCTTGAAACTCTTTTAAGACCTCAAAATTTTTAGATAATCCCAGGCAAGATGAAAAACTATCTGATGATCCAGACAAGCCTAAGACAAATTCTAGCAATCTTATATCTCAAATGGTGTGTTCTATTGAGACCTGTATTCTTTATGAAGAATACACCTTGATCTTCAAAATAGCTGAAATATTGAACCCTTACAACCAGAACAAGGACAAAAATTTAGAACACTATTAGAAGAATTTTTAGACCTTTTTGCATTAAATATAACTGAATTAGGTCATACTAGTTTGGTTACTCATAAAATCTATACTGAAGATGTTTCTCTTATTCGATCATGCTCTTATTCAATGCCATCTACAAAACAGACATTTATAAAAGAAAAAATACAATGGATGCTTAATAATAAACTTATTAGACCTTTTAGTAGCTCCTGAACTTCTCCTGTTGTATTAGTATAAAAAAAAATAGAAAATTATGTTTCTGTATAGACTACAGAAAACCTAATACTGTTACAAAGAAAGATTTATATCTTTTATCTCAAATAAATGAAATGCTTAATGCACTTGCTGGATCAATATAGTTTTCTACTTTAGATTTTGCTAGTAGATATTGGCAAGTTGATATGGACCCTAAAGACTGAGAAAAGACTGCTTTTATTACTTGATATGGTATTTACGAATTTAATGTAATGCCTTTTGGACTTTGCAATGCTCTAGCAACCTTTCAAAGATTGATAAACTGAGTTTATGATAGAATTGCATAGAAATTTGTAGTAATATACTTAGATGACATTATTGTCTACTCAAGAACATTCAATGAGCATTTTGAATATCTATGGAAAGTTTTTACTCAAATTTGAAAAGCCGGACTATGTCTTAATATTGAAAAATGTAACTTTTGGATGCAAAGCCTACTCTTTTTAGGCCATATTATATCTAGAAATGGAATTGCTCCAGACCCTCAGAAAATAGAAGCTGTTCACACTATACAATCTTCTAAAATGTAACCCAACTTAGATCTTTCCTAGGATTTGCTAAATATTATAAATAATTTATCCAAAATTTTTTAAGCATAGCCAGACCTCTTAATCATTTAATAAAAAAGGATACTGCATATAAATAGCACTCTGAACAACAAAAAGCCTTTGATGAATTAAAAAGAAGACTAATCATTGCTTCTATTCTAGCTTATCCTGATTTCAAGTACTCTTTCATATTAGCTACTGATGCTTTTTATTATGGCTTTGGTGCTACACTCAGTCAAATAGAAAAAGATGAAAGAGAACATCCAATTGCTTATACAAGTAAAAGCCTTTGAAAAGAAGAAATGAACTATAGTGCTACTGAATTAGAATGTGCTGTCATAGTTTGGGCAATCAAAACATTTTCATAAATACCTAGGAACTGCAAAGTTTATTCTTATTACTAACTATTATGCTCTTAAATAGTTAAGAACAACTAAACCTAAAGGACAAATTGGAAGATAGATACTCAAATTACAACTTAATAACTTCGAAATTATTTATAAACCAGGCCATGTTTATTCCAATGTAGATGCACTCTCAAGGCTGCTGACTCAGACATTACTAATACCATTTCAATGAATTTAGATCAGTATATTAACTTATATAATTATTTAGAATTAGACATATTACCTAAAGAGTTAACAGACATAGAAGAAAAACAACTAATTAGACAAGCCAAACATTTCAAAACAAAGCATAGACTATTATATAAAAAGAACAGAAAAGACCTTACTTATCCTTTCAGAGTTATTAAATAGACTGAAGTAGAACCTATTCTATATATGATGCATAAACATTCTACTGTCAGACATTTAGGAACAGATGCTATATACTATAAGATTGCTGAATGATATTATTGAGACCAAATGTATAGAGATGTACAAGAATATGTTCAAACTTGTACAGAATGTTAACAATGCCAAAAAGGATGAAGAAAGGAACCTCTTCATCTTATTTAAATAGGATGAACCTTTGAACAAATTGGTATTGATTTAGTAGGACCTCTTTCTCTTACTAAACAAAATAATTACTATATAATTGTTGCTACTGAATACCTAACATGATAGCCAGAAGCCTAAGCTGTGCCTGATACTGGTGCTGCTACACTAGCATAATTTATTTTTGAAGAAATAGTTTGTAGACATGAAACCCTAAAAATTATCTTATTAACCAAGGATGAAACTTTATTAGTAAAACTATCCACATATTATGTGAAAGGTTTCTAATCAAACATAAATCCTTATCACCATACTATTTACAAACAAAAGCATAGTTAAAAGGTTTAACCAAACACTCTGTGAATTGCTTGCTAAAGTAAAAAGAATAGATGATTAGAACATTTATATTCCTGCTGTATTATTAGCATACAGAACAAAGAAACATGCTACTATAGGATATACTTCATTTCAACTTATTTATGATCAACAAGCTACACTGCCAATTGAAGCTTTAATACCTGTTGAACCACTATCAGAAAGTAGCAAAAATATTAACTTACAAGACAGTATTCTGCATAGAGCTTATGATCTAATAGACAAATTGCTTCAATGGCAAGAGAATGCAAGAAACAATACTAATAAGTCACAACAAAAACAGAAACAATACTTCGATGCAAAAGTTAAGATACAAGAATTCAAAGTAGGTGACAAAGTATAGATTCAACAAAAGGAACTAGAAATGTCAAGATTAGCAAAATTTGAGAATAAATAACTAGGACCATTCATAATTCATAAGAAATTAGGAAATAGTGCTTATAAGTTACAAAATAAAGAAAAAAAAATCTTACAAAACTATTACAATAGTGACCGATTAGCAAAATATTATAAGAAATAGACTTGGAAACCAATAGTTGTTATTAAAACTTAGCAAATTTCTGAAAGAAATTTAATTTGAAAGGGAGTGACACAATGAAAACCATTTTGAAAATCTTATATTA